GCTGATAACCACTGAGCTCGGTTGGCACTGACACTGCGGATTCCTTTTCTGAACTGTTCTCACTTGTAGATCATGTCTGCGTCTCTGTGGTTACTCTACCTTGAACGTTTGATCTTGTATCCCCTGATTCTCCACTTTCAATGTCTAAGCTCACAACATTTTGTCTCGAAATTCCTCCACTTGAGCTTGACATGATGTCTTTGAAGACCAAATCTTCCCTGAATACTACGCTCCTGCTGATTACAACTTAAAGCTCTTAACGCCTTCAGGGTATCCAGTGAAGATACCCTTTTTAGCTCTCGGGTTTAGCTTACCATCACTTGAATGTACATAAGCAACACATCCAAACCGTTTGAGATCCATTAGACTTGGCATAACTGAAGTCCAAAGTTCCTTTGGAATCGCAAAATCAACAATTGAAGAAGGAGAACGGTTGATGAGAAAAACTACAGTAGATATTGCTTCTGCCCAAAACTTTTGGCTTAGTACGCTCTTGCTCAACATACTCCAAACCTTGTTCTTTATGGTTCTGTTAAGCCTTTGTGCAACTCCGTTTTGTTGGGATGTATACGCACACGTCTTGTGTCTCACTACACCTTCATCTTTCCAGAAGTCATTAAACTAGTGGTTACAAAACTCCAAGCCATTATCTGTTCTGAGTTTCTTGACCTTTCTCCCACTTTGAGTTTCCACCATTTTCTTTCAATTCACAAAACATTTGAATGCTTCGTCTTTGAACCTTAAGAAGCTAACCCATACCTTCCTCGAGTAATCATCAGTAAGCGAGATGAAATACTGACATTTACTCAAGCTATGAGGTACGTTTGGTGCACCCCAGAAGTCAGAATGAATGTAGTCTATCTTGTTTCTTGTATTGTATTGAACTGGACCGAAGCTAACCTTATGCGTCTTTCCCTTTACACAATCTTCACAGAACTGAATATCTAAAACTTTGCTGTCGCCAAAACAACCCTTCTTTCCTAGTAAATCCAAACCATTCTGACCGATGTGACCTAACCTGCTGTTCCATAACTGATTCTTATCCTCCTTTACCGCTGCATTTGTCTGATAGCTACTGGAACCTGAAACTGCTGATGAACCTTGAAGAATGTACATAAATGACCTTCTTGGCCCTTTCATAATGCCCGTGCAGCCCTTGATAACCTTCAGGGTTCCTCCAGAACCTTTTCAACTCGCATCCTTTACTTTCCAAAGTACCCATGGACATCAAATTCTTGGAGATTCCTTGCATGTATCTGACTTCATTTAGAACGAACGTTGTACCATCATGATTCTTGAATCTGACTGAACCTATTCCCTTCACTTCTGACAAAGAATCATTCGCCATTCTAACTTTTCCATTTGACAGCTCCTTAAACTCCAAGAATATATCTCTTCTTGGTGTCATGTGGAAAGAACAGCCAATATCCATAATCCATTCTTCTAGGTCCTCTTCTTCCCTTGACATGTTCACTTCTGCCACTAGAAGACCCAACAAATCTTTCACGCCATCCTTAGGCACACATGATTCCCCTGAATCCTGAGAGTAACCTTTTCCTTTGTTCCTCTCTTGCCACTTGTAGCATTGTTTCTTTAGATGCCCCTCTTTACCACAGATCCAACAAACTCTCTTACCGTCTCTTGACTAAGATCTTGAGCGATTGTTCTTGTTCTTACCTGAAACGTTAGTATTCCTAGAAAAATTTCTACCTCTAGCAAAGTGACCTTCCCCGATAGTCTTAGATACTCCAGTTCCTTAGATTTAGCATGACTAACAATATCATCCACCTTAATGGCTTATCTACCATATTTCAAAGGTTCTATCAATGAATCATATTTAGAAGGGAACGAATTAAGGAGGAGGATAGCTTGTACCTCTTCTGGAATGTCAATTTTAAGGTTCTCTACGATGAGCTTGAGGAAGTCGTCTACGTTCTGGTCAATGATCTTTGCATCCTGCATCTTGAATGAATACACCTCTGCGTATGAATCCGATTCGGCAATGACTGCGTCATGTAGAGGCAATCTAGAGCTTCCCATGCCTGAGCCGCCATAACGCACTTTTCGAGCTTCCTCAGTACTTTATCCGCAACGCAGGTGAAATAAGATTGAGTGCTTTATCATCACGCTCCAATATGGTGGTTTCTTCTTGGATCCTTGCTTCTCTCACTTCCGGCGTCTCCTCCGCCACAAAGGCTTCTCCTTCAAGAGATCTTTCAGTCCTTGTATGGTGATGTGTGCAAGAAATCTCTTCCTTCAGATTACGAAGTCGCTAGATCCATCGAATTGAACGATCTTGTCATCTTCTCCGATTTGAAACTTGAGCTGTTCCTTGGCCTGAACCTTGCTCTGATACCACTTTGTTCGATCTAACGCTCTATATCGATTCACTCAGCTCACACTTGAATCCACTTAAAGAAGTAAGAAAACAGAATTGAGAATGCATGAAAGAAGAAGACACAATTTGGTAACCCATGAGTTCCTTGCGTACATCTCCTGGGGCACGGACTTAGCCGACAAACTCACTATCATGGCAAACCTCGCCGTCTCTGATCGTCTATGTTACAATCGCCAATCAAGCCTCTCTCTCTCTACCTTATCCTCTAATCTTGTTTCCTATTCCGTTACAACCTCTTAACTAGAATAGTGAGGATAAGACTTAAGCTATATACAAATACCAGCTTCTCAATTTTTTCCTATTAGGTTCTCAATTTTTTTTCATAGAAATTCATAAAAGTGACTTGTCATCCACATTCGATACACCATCAGTATTTGCAGTACCGGCCCGTGGTCATATGGAGCCTAAAACCTACTAAATTTTTTGGCTTATTTTATCTGTAGAATAAATTAAAAATGACAAAAACAAAAAAGGAAACGTTGGAAGGATTCGAACCCTACACATGAGATATTTTATAGCAACACACAATACACTAGACTAAAGGAACTTGTCATAATTTTTTGCCCCTAAATTGTTTATATTATTTGGCGTCTAAAGCCTTTGCTTTACGGGCTTTAGCTACGAGCCGGCCTGAGTATTTGTATCATCTCCGAGATGCACTAATTATATCTCTAGAAAATAAAATAAAGTTAAAGTCAACCAACATCATAGACATCGAAGCAATAATCAATGTTAGAACTTTGTATTAGTCTACTACATCCCGTAAATTTCTTAACTAGATTTTTGACTTTAATTGGAAAATATAATCATATATATGAAAAGAGACCAACTCTCTCCATATGATTGGCATGTGGACATTCATTGGATTGACACATGGCAAAGCTTTTAAAGAGAGTAGTCTCTTCATATTCTTAACCGTTGCAGTCATTACAGACATGTTTTCCAAAACCGTCGATTACTTCACCTTCCACTACTTCACCTTCCACGTTGTATTAACCCTCAATTAATTGACATATGACATGACTTTTCCTCTTCCTTCCAATTTGATAGCTCTAAATCTTATTTATTTACTAAATATTTCTATTTCTAAACAAAGACGGGAAATCAAAGTTCGCTCTATGTGGTAGTAAGTAAACAAAGAGAGTTGATGGCAAATAGACGTGTAGTATATAATGCAAAATATAGATTTGAAAATCAATTTGCGAACCAGATAAGTTGAAATTAAAATGCGGGTATTATTTGGATTATAGTTTATACTATTAATAATCGCAAATCTAAAATTATTTGAACATTTTTAAAAAACTATAACAATTGGAAAAACCCGCGCGTATGCGCGGGCATTAGTCTAGTCTTAATTGAACTAAGAAGACAAAGTCTACATAAAGAAAAATTATCTATAACTAAAAATCAAACTTTAATATACATATCGGTTTGAACATGAAAATTAAACCACCTTCTCTTATGGCTTCAAGTTCATCAAGTCCTCAACTCTTAATCTTCTTCTCGTGTTTATCTTTATGTGGTTATGAATTTACGAGTTACGACATTATATTTGATTATCAATCGATTAGGAGAAGAAAATATCCCCACGTTTCTTGAAACAGGTTCAATCATGTTTCCATTTTAGAAACGAACGTATCCAACACGTTTCCAAATAGGCAAATTCAAGAAACCTGTTTCCGTCACGTTTCCGATTTCGAAATGTATCTAAACGTGAAACGTAAGGTGAATAGTTTTCGGAGAAAAGTACCGCGATGTTTATGTTCTAAGAAAGTCAATGTAGAAATTAAAGAATGTAGAACATAAGTTTCTTCTTGCCGTTCGGACATCACTTACATTGGTTGGTCCCTCACACATGCATGTTCAACCGACATAATTTTCTCCATATGGGTCATTGTCTAAATGACATTATACAAGTGATAAAATTAATACCATGGCATTGTTATTCTTAATTATTCTTTGATGTGTTCGATATATTGTTTTTCTTACTTAGCAGCTATATGTGGGTTGAAAGTTAAAAACATAAGAGTTAAACACAACCCAACTCACTTGGAGAACATGAAAGGATTATCTCATAAGAAGCTTATGAATGTGTAGCATTTCAAAACTGACTCCTCTCTAGGAAAGTTTAACATAACATTTGAGTTCATTGCTTCTAAACATACAAACAATTACTCATGTAAGTATGTATCAGCATATCCTCCTTTCTAATTTTGAAAAATTGATAGTTCTTATGTAATTTATGTTTCTCCAGAAATAGAGTTATAGATATAATGTCTTAAGAAATTATACTCTCGTTACGAATGCCTGGTTCAAAAAAAAAGAAAAAATTACACTCTCGTCATAACGTAATACAGTAGTTCGGAAAGCAACAATTAGTAACAAAACTAAAGATAGAGAGAATGACTGACTCTGATTAGATAGAGGAAACAGTGATACAAGAAAAAAAGGAACAATCAAATTTACTAATGAAATTAAAAAAGTTAAATATTTCGTGTAAAATTGAACTTAGATTTTATGTATAACTTTCTCTAAAACCGTGAATAGTGAAAAAAAAGCTGAAACTGTTTTCTAGACAGGGTCATAAATAAAACCTAAGTTCAAGTCTGGTTTTGGAAGGTTCCATTCGTTAGTTTCTTATGAGGGAATCTTTTAATGTTCACAGAGTGTCGTGTGCTACGATAGAGTGGTCCGTTGTTGTACCCTTGGTTGGGGTTTAATTAAGCTCTATGTACGGTCATTCTCACACTAGTAAAGATAATTCATTGTTCCAAGTAGCTGTCTTCGGAGTTGCATGGGACCTTAAATAGTTCATATCTCTTTAAATGATTTTGTTATCTTTCCAGTTTCCACAATAAAAAACAGCTGATTACTCCTTCGGAGTTTCTTTTTTTTTTTTTTTATGATAAATTGGAATAAATGTCATTTCATGCTTAAAGATTATTAATATTTGGTTGGTAAATTCGATAATTTTTTTTTTAGTAATAACCTTTTGGAGACAGAGTATATTAGAATTGTCTTTGTAAATAATTTTGGACTATAATTTACTTAAGAATCTATGTTACATGGAAATGGAAATGGAAGTGCAGAAGCGAAACATTTCTAAAACTCGAAACATACATTTTGAAATTTATAAGTTTGGAAAGGCGTGTATATATATATATTTATTTAATTTGTTTTAACTAATAATAAATATTATCTTTAATGTCAAAAATTTATAATTATGTTCTATTATCATTGTTTTGAGATCCGAAACTGAGGAGAAAGTGATATTCAAACTCAACAATGATAAGATTAATCAAATTAATCATTAGTTTACTGTAAATAATCAAATTAATCAACTAATTGTATTATTTATTCATAATTATTTAATAATAGTATTATCAAAAATAAGAATAAGTTTATGTTGAGTTTTCAAAATGGAAACTCGAAAAAATGAGTTTCCGACAAGTCTCCGAGAGTTTCCGTTTTGGGAAACACACCTTAGACGAAGTTTCCATGCAACATATTAAAAAACATTGTTTACCACATATATATAATCGACAAAAAACGCAAGCGAACGGGAAAAAAACTTAAGTAGAATTCGAATCTAACAAGAAGTAAAGAAGTGCACCTAATTTTCAATTTCACAATAAAAAAATTTGACTCATCAATTCAAACTTGAAATACGGCACTCGTATTTTGGTATGGGCCAAATATCCAATAATATAGTATGGCCCATTATTATTGTATGGAAACAAATAAAAAATGTGAAAAGTTGTTTTTTATAAAATACTAAAACATATGATAAAACTTAAAAGTTCGTGAAGTGATATCACAGATTCCAAAAATGTATTATATTTTTGAATCATAGAAGTATCTTATTATATAAATTTGGATCCGCGCGATGTGGTTGTGATACGTAAGTTTTTTATAATTTATAGAATCGCGACATGTGTCAGTCCGTTAAGATCGTGACACGTGTCTTGGGAAAACAAAATGTTAGGAAAAAGAAAATTTTTAAAATTGAAATTTTAATCTATTATAGTAAATTATTGTTGGATCAAAATTAAAATTATTGTTGTTAACTGTGTTTAATATTTGATCAGGTGAAGATATGTGTTAATACAAGAAAATTAGAAAAATGTAAAAGTTAAAAAATAAAAAAATAATTGGAAACCAACTAAGAAATAATAAAAAGGAAAACTTATAATGGTCTGCGGCAAAAACAAAACTGAAAAAGAAACAATATAAATAGAAAACTAACAAAATAATTATCAAGCAACTAACTAATATTAAAAAGAAAAAATTATAATGAACTGATATTCTAACTTTAATAGTTTAATTTTTCAATATTTTTTTTAGATAAAAAAAATTAAAAAATGATTTCATCAACTCAAATATCTTGAATGGAATAATTAAAGTTTCACGAATTAATCAATCGATCAGACTTATGTGTAAGTCTCATGTGTAAGTCTTTCTATTTTAGATAAAAATAAAAATATAACAAATTAATTTATTTTTCTTATCATGAATTCAGAAAAATATGTCAATTATAATAAAAATGTAAAAAGAATACCAATCTAATTTTATTCAGAGATTTATTATCGGGTTTTTTTATATTATTTTACTTACTTTTAAAATGTAAAATTTTATTTAATAT